TTAAATGAGAAATAATAAAAAATTACAATTAAATAAAATAAAGTAAATACAAATATAAAAAAAAAACTATCGATGCCTGCATCGCGAATGTGTTCCGCAGGGCGGTGGCTGTCAGTCTCGAGGAGGATTTCTTCGTATCACTGGTTCTGACTCCTCGTTGTCATCATCGTCGTCGTCGTCACCATCGTCGTCGTCGACGTCACCATCGTCGTCGTCGTCGTCCTGAGCAGGTACATTAGGTTGATGAGGAGCTGATGAAGATGAAGCACCTCCATAGAATAAGGACCCTGGAGGTGTATGACTGACTATCCCACCGGCCTTCGAAAACTGGGAAAACTGGGAAAACCCATACATCGCTGAGTGTGAAAACTGTACAGGAGGTGTCTGTGCTGCGGCCATGGGTGATGAGGCTGAACCCGCCAAATATCTAGTATATGAACCCCAAGTCGAATCTACAAACATAGACCCATAATAGCCTCCAGGAGGGGTCATCTGTGACGGTGGCGGTGGAGGGGTCATAAAACCAAGTGAAGGCGGCGGCGGCTGCATCTGGTAATGGAAAGGCGATGGCGGCATCATATATGGTTGCGGCATCATATATGCCTGCGGTGGCTACTGGGAAGGTCCTGCTGGTGCAGCTGAGGATGAACCGGAAGCACCTGCTCTCCGTCCACGAGTCGGGGGACGATGATGCTGTGTCGGTGAACGTCTATGTCGATGTCGTGGAAAGGTCTGCCCTCGTGCATCATCGGGAAGTAGAAACGGTTTCCTGTTACTGTTGAACCACTCATAATAATCCTCAGCATACATCAAGAAGTCAGTAAAAATGGGCTCTCTACGTGGAAGGCGCCGATGTCGATCCTCCCACAACACGACCCACTCATGATGCCTCACTAGCCAATCTGTATCTGTCTTGCCGTGTCTATCTAAGCTATGCAACTCGTCCATATTGCGAGGTGCTTCCAGAATTGGTTGAAAACAACCAAACTGCTAGAGCACGCGATCAGTGGAGTGCCACTCGATGGTCGCATAACAGATAAGATGGACCATCGCCATCCAAACATCTGATGGACCCCTCAACTCAGGTGGGATCACCGCCCTCACATCATCAGTAGAATATGTCACCCATTCAAACTAAAACAAATAATATATAATTTTTATCAAAATAATAATCTAATTATATAACTATAATCTAAAATCGATTTTTAAACATTAAAATTCATACCTGTGTGTCAGCCTTCTGATCGATTAGCACCCTAATTTTTTCTAAATTATCAGGTAGCTCCTGATGATTTTTCCTATCAGTAGACCACCTATTCAAGGAAAAAAATTTGTTATACGCTGTATAAAATTATTAATATACAAAATCAGTTTTATAATTACCTCAGAAGTAGTGGAAATACGAATGGGTTCTTCACAACGGGACATAAAAAGGGCAATCGATATCATGCCCAAGACTGCAGCAGCAGGAGACATCCGCCGATAGCATTACGTCTGTAGTCAGTGGCTCCACACATCTCCCTGTACAGCAAATCCAAAATTGCCGAGCCCCAACTGAATGATCTGGCGAGACGAAAGTCGCTAAGATGTCGCAACCACTTGTAGTGAACTAGGTTGCGCAATTTGTCTGGCATCAGCAACCCTTCTATCAGCTGCAGTATGCATGCCCGTGTATACATCTTAACCTCATCCTCAGAGGAGTCTGCGCTTAACTCCCGAAAATTGGTATCTAACCAATTTAACGGTATCCTACCTCCGATAAAATTTTTCGGGACACGTCCTAGATTATCCCGACACAAAGTAGTCCAAGAACCGGAAGTTATCCCTGATATCACATCTCCATCCACTGGAAGCCGCGCATAGAAACATCCTCAAGCGTGATCGTGCACTCTCCGCACGGAAGATGGAATGTGTGGGTCTCCGGCCTCCACCGCTCTACTAAGGCAGAAATCAGGTCTGGCTCTATCTTACAGTGACCCTAATATCTACCTATGTAACCGAATCCAACATCTACTAAATACGGCAAGACACGACTAGGTATCACTAACTTAAGATTCCTAATAAAAGGATCTAATACACGGTCATTCTCCTAAAAATAAATAATTACAAAAATTAATTCTTAATCTAATAAGTATGCATTAAATAAATCAACTAATTATTACTAATAATTTAAATTAAATTAAAACGTTAAAATGTTACTGTATCAGCAAAATGTCGAGATATTTAATTCTTAATCTAATAATCATGCATTAAATAAATCAACTAAATATTACTAATAATTTAAATTAAGTTAAAATGTTACCGTATCAGCAAAGTGTAGAGATATATGATTTCCATCCGAGCGAAGTAAACTGCATTCAATTATATATCTGTAAAAGAATTATATTAGTAAAATATTAAATAAAGTAAATACATAATAGTAAAAATATTATAAAATATACCTTAAAAAGAGAGAGTATTTGAGAGAAATTTAGAGAATTTGAGAGAATTTAGTGTGATAAAAGTGATTGAGGATGGATGTATTTATAAGAAGGATTGAGATGTGAGAGGCCGAGTATTTAGGGGTATAGCGCGCCTCCTGCACCGCGCAATACCCCACGAGTTAGATACACATGTATAGCGCGGATTAGGGGGCGCACTATACACACTTGACGTCAAATCACCGTATGTCGCAGGGCAGGGGCGCGCTATACCCACGTGACGCCAAATCAACGTATAACGCGGTTCAGGGGCGCGCTTTACTGCTACGGGTGTTAGATCAAAAAATATAATTTGACCGGTGTTAGATCGATAAATATACCGATCACGGGTAATTTATTCGGAAAATTGCCTGCCTAAAGTTTATACTATTAACCTAGTTCCTAACATTCTTAATTAGTTAATTATTGGAAAGTACTTAGTGTTCTATTTATTGGAAAGTACTTAGTGTCCTATTAATTGGAAAGTACTTACTGTCCAGCTGTAAAGTTTATTTATTTATGATGACTCCGCTTTAGTGGAATCAACTTAAAATCATGTCTTAAAACACACAAATTTAACATCGATGCTCTCTCTATGTTTCTAACATTGTACTCTTCCCAAGTTAAAATTTTCTTTCAAAGAAAGAATCTATAGTCCATTCAATATCGCCTTAATTATGAGCATTATATTAGGTTACTTTTCTGTAGTTTTTATAAGAAAAATTATAAGAAATGGATTTTTTTAATATTAAATTAATTTATTTCACTTATACCATAATTTCTGGCAAATGACTGAGAAGAGACGGTCTCAATCTTTGTCTACTATTGCAAAAAGATCTCTATTTCTTAGGTCGATCGTGGTTAAGACAATTTTGTTTTCCCTTGATAATCCGAATTTGACTCTACGTGCACGTAAATGTAACTCTAAATCTTTTTAAAAATAATAATAATTTAATAATAATATAAATAAAATGTTACGTGCATTGATTAGAATCTCCGGATCCCTCGTGGAGAGAATTTGAAATGTATAAATTTTCAGATAAGTAGTGGGAATGGACAAAGTTGAGTGCAATTTGAGTTAAAAAAGGGGGGAAATATGGAAGCGGTGGTAAACAGTTGCAAGAGCAAGATAGTCCCAATTAATAGGCCACGATGAAAACGAGCCAACCGCGGCCATGTCTCGGTAAAGATGTGAAATACGTGGAAAAGAATCCGCTTGGGCCAGCGCACTTCTCGCCAATCCTGTGACTTCCTCACTCTGTTTCTTTTGCAGTCTTATATTATATGGTTCCAACTTTCAAATATTTTAAACTCAAAGTATAATTAATCTCATATATTACTTAACAATGTAATACTTATTTGGGTAAACTATTCAAATGGTTCCGACTATAAGTTGATATTTTGTTGAGTCTTTAGACTATAAAAAATTATAAAATGATTTTTCATTTATATAATATTATTTTATTGAGTTCACTTATTATTAAAAGTTACAAAATCATTGTCCGACTACTTATATATTTCAAATTCATCATATTTCGTTAAAAAATTAACTGTTGTCTGAGTTGGATATTAACATATTAGTTGAGATATGATAAAATCATATTTTAATGATGACTACTGACACCGTCATTCTTTTTAAGTATTGACTCAACGATATTATGTTTCAAGTACTGAGTCAATGTTATAACATAAATCGAGAGCCTATCCACAAGATATAGTTCAAACGATTCCGAGATCATATTTTATCATATCCAAATCAACAAGTTAACGTCAAGCTCAGACAGCTGTCAAATTTTTAACAGCAAATGACTAGTTTAAAACATATGGACAGTCGAGTGATCATTTTGTAACTTTTAATTATCGATGGACTCAATAAAACAACCCCTACAATCATGAGATTATTTGATAGCTTTTAATAGTCAAAGACTACACAAAACAAATATTATATAGTCACAAAATCATTTATTTATTTTACCTTAATTACTTTTGTTACAAAAGAATGTTATATCTTTTAAATATAATCTACATAAAATACTAGTTCTTCACTAATTAATGTCTTTAAACAGATTTCATTAATGACTATAACTATCATGGAACCTACATTCTCCATATATAGATTATAATGTAGAATACAATATAAAGATAAGATTTTTGGTAATTTCACGAAACTTGAGAAAAATTCAAAAACTGAGGGATTGAAACCTCATGACCTTTATTTATTTATTTATTTAATTTTCTTCTTCATTCTCATGATCTAATTTCTCCACTATAAAAATATCAATTAATTTATTCTCTTACTAATTATAACTCTTTGTTCAAACAAAACATCAATCTATTTTTTCTTTCTATTAGAAAAAAGAACAATAGAGGAAATAGTTTCTTTTTTTTAAAAAAAATTCTCTTAAGACAAAACAAACCCACATTTTAACTTGTATTTTATCTCTCTTGTCGACAACGGTGAGAGATGCAGGGGGGGGGGGGCATCAGATCCTCTCCAATATATAACTTTAAAATATTGCCATAAGAACGCCCCTACAATTTGCAGCTTTTTTTTTGTGTGTGTGTGTAAATCTTAATCTTAATAATCTTTTATCGCTATCTTGCCTCGATATTGTAAATCCTTCAGATTTGAATCAGGAACTCTCCTCATTCCTTCCATTTTATCTTTATATTTGTATCCAACTTGTTTCTCCTTGAAGAAAACCTCTCTGTCTTTTGCTTTTTGCACTGTTGTTTTCTTTCTCTGGTTAAAAGTTGAAACCTCTTCAACTCTTTCATGGTGCTGAAAGCCATAGCTTGTTGACACTTGAGATTCTTCCTTTTTCAAATCTTGTTTCAGTGATGGCTCAAAAGCATTTGCACGAGTTACTTCAAGAGGATCAAGAGCCATTTGTTTTGAGGAAGAAGAAATCATCACCCAAAGCTCATCTTCAAATCAATAGACGAAAACCCATTACTCAAATCTCCAACTTCCCTTCAAATTTCTGCAAAAGTGCTTGCTTTTTCTCCTTCCACGATGCAACAACAGACCCCGGGAAGTCACCGTTGTTTGAATTCCCTTCACCGGCTAAAAGCCCTTGCAAAAGCTCAGGTGCCATCTTTCTTCACATCCCAAGCTCATCTTCAGCTCTTCTTCTTGAGGCTGCTCTCAGGATTCAAAAGCAATCGAAAACCAAAAACAACGGCGCTTCTTCTGGCTTGTTTGGTTCCATCCTGAAGAGGCTAACTCACCGTAACAAGAACCGAAAGCGTGAAATCTCTAATGATGGAGGTCAAGTGTCGACTGTGGGGAGAATCAACCCAAGACATAGGAAAGCGTTGTCAGAACACTGTGGTCCGCCAAGCAGTGCTGTTTGGTCTGAAAAATCCATGGATTTGGATACTTCATGTAGCTGCAGTCATCAATCCGAGGATTTTGAAGAGATTTTCACTTCCAAATATGTCTTGCAAAGTAATTCAGCTTTTTCTTCCTTTGATGAGCATTTTTGTGAAAGCCCTTTCCATTTCGTGCTTCAAAAAAGCCCTTCTTTTACTCATCGGACACCACTCTTCTCTTCACCATCAACATCCCCAAATCGTCTCCAAAAGGAGGTCAGTACATTTAGTTTAAAAGCTTCTTCATTTGGATCATTTGAGTGAACTCGTGACGGATGTCTGAGTAGTGAGTTCTCAAGAAGTGCGGTAATTTGAGTGTACTCCTGTTTTGTTTTTCCAGTAATTAATTTACTTAAAAGGACAAATATTTTCTTGTTTTTTCTGTTGGATCCCATCATCAGAATCAGACAATTGTTTCACAGTTTTTGATTGGAAAAGTCACAAACCAATCAATTAGCAATTATATGTACTACCAAACCCTTTAAAAATCATGGAAATTTTCAACAAATGCAGTATTTGAAAGTAATGTCTGAAGAATAACATGTCTTAATCAGAGGTTGTTGCATTGGATTATTACAGGACAAGGAGAATTATGAAACAGAGAGCTTTCGAAAACTACAAGTAGAAGAAGAGGAGGAAGAAGAAAAAGAACAATGCAGTCCTGTTTCCGTTTTGGACCCTCCATTCGAGGACGACGATAGACACGTGAATGACGACGATGATGATAATGCCGATGAGAACGATGGTTTCGATCTCGAATGCAGCTTTGCAAATATACAAAGTATGTTTTCTTTCTGAATCACTTGAATTCATTTTTAAACCGTTCCATCTAGTTAGTAAGGTCTTTAATATTTATTTATATGCATATGCATGGTTTAATTTATAGTTAGTATATAGGTAAATAGTTTATAATTGAAGCTTTGTAGGTTTAGTTTATCCGTACATTGATTTCCATTTCGATTTTGCTTTTTATGATACCAGGAGCAAAGCAGCAGCTACTTCATAAACTTCGGAGATTCGAGAAACTCGTCAAACTGGATCCAATTGAACTCGAGAAAAGAATGTTGGAGCATGATGATGATGATGCTAACGATGGAATATGGGACCTGGATGAAGAAGACGAACTCGAGAACGAGTCGGTTCCTTCTGATAGTGAAATGAACATAGACGTCATTATCCAAGAAGTGCTTAAATCAAGCTTCTGCAATGCAGTACGTCTCCCAGACGGCATTAAAAGGTTGGTATCCGATCTCGTTGCCGAGGAAGAGACCGACACCGATCGAGAAACGGTGGCTAAAAGGGTGTGCAAAAGGCTAGAATCATGGAAATATGTGAAAGTTAACACCATAGACATGATGGTGGAACAAGATTTCAGAAGATCAGAGCCTGATGGTTGGAAAGGAAATCAAGAACAGATTAAAGAAACTGCATCACAACTGGAATATGCAATCTTTGGATTATTAATGGAAGAATTATCAGAATAACTTGTTTGTTTAACTGGTATTTGATGGGAAAATTCTAAAAATTAATTTTGTATTCACTTTCTTTCATTTTTTTTTGAAAATTAGAGTCTGACTTGCACTGAATTGATAGGCTAATGAGGAAAGGATGTGGGTTAGAATAGCAATATCATTATGTATATGAAAATCATGTATCATTCTAATAAAATTTGATTACATTAAAACAATTTAATCCCAAAAACAGGAAAAAAAAACACAGGTATAAAGCTGGTATCAATGTCTTTTCATTTATTGTTACTGATAAAGGATATTCTTCACAAATTAAAATTTTAGGTCATTAAGGGAAAAGTTTATTTCATTTTTTTCATAATTGGTCAGTGTTTTTTCTTTTTTATATGAACGACAATATAAGGGCAGCATTACCTGTTAAAATAGTCACATTCTTGTTCTTATAATAGATTAAAAAAGATTCTTAACAGGAACCCATTAAGTGGGCTTGCTAAAATAGAATGTTGTTCTTCCTAGATCAATTATCATGGATTCGAGCAATTACGTCTGTAAAGTATGTGTTGTAAATTATATAAGTATGTGTTGTAAATTTGGAAGTCAGTCACACGTCCAACTAGACCAAAACCTCTATTTTGTGACCTAAATTTGGTCCACACATATAGTTGAGGGTCTACAATATAACATTTCCCTACAGGGCACTTTGACCAATTATGTGATGGATGAATTAAACAACTATTTTCTACTGCTACAAGCATGGATGAGGATGCAAATGTCGTTTAGAACACCCACCTCTTGCACTCGATTTTCTTTCCCTGACAAGAAGGTAAGCAAAGCTATAATTATATTTAAAATTTTATAACGCATTACATTACTTTAGGAACTAAAATATCAATCATGTCGCTGGAGAGCAAAAGCTTTCAAAGGGCATCGATATCAACCCTTTATGTATTGAAACCTCGCGTCCAGTATTGCTGTTCAAAGATCTTTTTTACACATCAATATCTAACTATTATGTTTAGATAACTAGATCCTCATATTAATATATATACAAATCTCAATATTTAAAAGACTAAAATGAATAAAAAAGAAACAAGAGATAACTCAAGGCTTAAAAAATTCAATTAACTTGACAAAGAAGGCTTATAGATATTGATACCACCTTTGAGTATCAATATCGTTTTACATTCAAAATTCTGAAAAAATGATAATAAATTTATGACATCAATATTGTTATATAAATATCAATACCAAAATTAGATTCGAAATAAGAAAGTAACCCTTATTAATGTATGGTATCAATATCCTACAATAAGGTATTGATATTGTCGCGACCGTCTTTCGGGTGGGCCCGGAATTGGTATCAATATCCTACAATAAGGTATTGATATTGTCGCGACCGTCTTTCGGGTGGGCCCGGAATTGGGCTTCGACTTAGGAAAATGGTTTGGAGTCACCACCGATCATTTAAAAAATATTTAGGTTGATCAGATACCATCTTACCTGATCTGCGTTTTACCAGAAATATGTTGGGCTCGAGAGTCGGTTATAGTCAAGGAATGATTAGCACCCTTGAACTGTCATTTCGGTACCATTTAATTTATCAGTTGTCTTAATTGCAAAAATTAAAATTTAAAAAATCGATCATAATTATTTACCTTTTGATCAATTAAAATTATCCTAAAAAATCATAAATAAAGTTTAAAAAATAAAAAAAACATTGGAAAAAAAGTATTCAACCCAAAACATGTTCAAGAGCAACAAAAAATGACTAAACTGAAATAAATAAATAAAAGATGATATCAGAATCAAATGTTAAACTAACTTATGCTACAGGGTCTAAATTAAAATAAATGCAAACAGGATGTCATAAATGAAATAAAATAAAACATGTAAATGACCAAAACAAAATAAAACTTAATATATAGCCTAAATCGAAATAGACAACAAAGGCGGGATCTAGTGATCTAAACGTAAAACACGATCAGATTTCAGGGACCTACGAGAAATTTACCCACGAACAAAAGCTCCAAACGTTACATCTGCTAAGGGCAAGGACCTGTACTACAATTTATCCCCGAATTAATGACTAGAATACAACTGGACTCATAAAGCTAGAGGACTTACGCGTAATAAACCCAACATTTAGTGACCTAGCTATAAATACACGCTAAAGGTCCAGGGACCTTAGCGTGATTTTCCCAAAATCCCAAAATAAGAATATCTTCCCCTCCCCCAAATTTCATTCTGCCCGATTGCTCCTAAATCCCTAACATTTTCTTCCCTTCGCTCACCACGACCGTTGACTATGACATCTAACACCCTGACGAGCCGGCGCAAGCAAAGGCTCGGTCATTATATACAGATGGCCATTCTCCTCCCACCGAGACCCACACATAACATTGGACACTGCTCGGCTGCGGAAACAAGGGTATTTTCTCTCTCTATCTTTTTTTTATGCTCGAATCAGTTTCTCATCGTTCCCGTATTTTTTTAGTGTTTACAGGTATATCTCCCGTGTCCTTTTTCTATGATTTTTACACTAATTTATAGCTTGATGAACACCTATTTTTGGGTGGATTTAGAGTCATAATAGGATTCTAAAACTGATTTAGGGTTGTTATGTTTGATTTGGTTATTTTTCTGCTTGATTCCCACGAATCCATGATGCCGGGGAAATCGGAGGTGGGTGAGGCGTGAGGCACGAGGGGTATTCGACGGGGGCTGTTATGGCGATGATGGAGAGAAGTAAGGGTTAGGGTTTTAAAACCCTAACCCGTTCAGATCTGGGCTGGTTCAGGTTGGACCACTTCTTTCGGTTCGGGTCAAGCTCTACTGGATTCGGGTCACTGTTGGATGCGGGCTGCAATGGCTCTGGGCTGTTGATTGTTGTATTTGGGCTTCTGGGCCACCCTTTGTAATGATGTCGGGCTTGAAATAGGTGATGGGCTATACAAATTTATTTGTAACATTGGGCCTAGTACAAGAAATGAAAAATATGTAATATGTACCATATTGTATAATACAATTATAATGAAATAAATCAATATATAAATATATTATAACAATATGATCATAATAATATTAATCGAATCGAGCTGGACGAAATTAAGTATCTACAGCTGCCCCTCTTTGCCCAGGGTCGTGTAATGGGAATAGGGCAAAGACTAAAAGACATCAATTTTGTCCACCATGAATATATCATTTAGCCCTCTGTTATGGAAATGATTCCCCACTTATCGAATATCCTTTGTAGTAGAGTTGAAATCTGATGTCATAATTGGTCTGCTAATTTAGATTGAATCACAGATGACTCCCTCACTGTAAGGTTGAGTCGAACTGGAGAATTCTGAGCACGATATTCTTCGTTATAAAGTTGAAAACGAGCTCAAAGTGCTGGAAAATTTTCCATGGATCGTCTTCTAGTCCAAGACACTTCGTCGTGAAGCTTGACCTGAAGACTTCGGTGTTAATGCGTTATAGATGACTCATTCGTCGTGAAGTTGGGTCAATCTTCTGCGTACGATATCCTTCGTTGTGAAGTTAAAATCATAGGAATCGGAAAGTGGCTTCTGGTTTCCAAATTGTAGTCAGTTTCGATTTTCTTATCGGGTTAAAGACCTTTGTTTAAAAATTTGACTGGAAAATAATTCCTTGACCCTACCATGTGGTTGATAGGCCCTCGAGCTGAACAAAATTGAACTCGAAGGTCTTTGTTGATAGATAGCCCTTCTCGCCTTGAGCTATGCTGTAAATTCAATACGCCTCTGAGCTGAATGTAATCAAACTCGAAGGTCTTGGTTGATAGATAACCCTTCTCGCCTTGAGTTATGCTGTAAATTAGCTGGGGAACAAACCCCTGTTGTTGTAGATGACTTATTTGTTGTGAAATCGAGTCGATCTGTTGGGCACAATATCTTTCGTCATGAAGTTGAAATCGTGGATGGCTCATTCGTCGTGAAGTTGAGCTTTGAGTTGGATATCCTGCATTGTGAAGTTGAAATCCAATCTAGAGGTGGATGCTACTTGTGGGCTCGATATCATTCGTTGTGAAGTTGATATCGTGGATGGTTCATTCGTTGTGAAGTTGAGCTTTGAATTGGATATCCTTTGTTGTGAAGTTGAAATCCAATCTAGAGATAAATGTTTCTTGTGGGCACGATATCCTTCGTCGTGAAGTTGAAATCGTTGATGACTTCTTCGTTGTGAAGTTTAGCTTTAAATTGGATATCCTTCGTTGTGAAGTTGAAATCCAATCTAGAGATGGATATTGCTTGTGGGCACGATATCCTTCGTCGTGAAGTTGAAATCGTGGATGGCTCCTTTGTTGTGAAGTTGAGCTTTGAATTGGATATCCTTCGTTGTGAAGTTGAAATCCAATGGTTGTTTCACCAAATCGGTTTTGAGTTGGATATCCTTCGTCGTGAAGTTGAAATCCAATCCTGTGTAAGTTGCCTTGTTTCGAGTCCAATATTATTCACTGTGAAGTTGAAATTGACTCTGAATAAAACTGGAAAGTTGTTTGTTGAGTCCAATATTCTTCGTTGTGAAGTTAAAATTGACTCTGAATGAAACTGGAAAGTTATTTGTTGAGTCCAATATCCTTCGCTGTGAAGTTGAAATTGACTCTGAATGAATCTGGAAAGTTGTTTGTTGAGTCTAATATCCTTCGTTGTGAAGTTGAAATTGACTCTGAATGAAACTGGAAAGTTGTTTGTTGAGTTCAATATCCTTCACTGTGAAGTTGAAATTGACTCTGAATAAAACTGGAAAGTTGTTTGTTGAGTCCAATATCCTTCGATGTGAAGTTGAAATTGACTCTGAATGAAACTGGAAAGTGTTTTGTTGAGTCCAATATCCTTCGCTGTGAAGTTGAAATTGACTCTGAATGAAACTGGAAAGTTGTTTGTTGAATCCAATATCCTTTGTTGTGAAGTTGAAATTGACTATGAATGAAACTGGAAAGTTGTTTGTTGAATCTAATATCCTTTGCTGTGAAGTTGAAATTGACTCTGAATGAAACTGGAAAGTTGTTTGTTGAGTCCAATAT